CCCCCCCCCCCCCGGAGATGTTGCTGAAAGATACCCTGTCTCCAAGTAGAAATGCTCCCCCCCCCTTTTTTTTTTCAAAGTAGTTCCTGTCACTGTCACAATAGATTCATGCTGTAACTATAACCATTGAAAATGTATATTTTATATCATGATCAACCTGTAGTTTTCATTTCCCATTTATACCAATGTACGCCTATTAATTTAATAAATATTTATATCATCATAAAGGCGATGTTATCTTAGCCATTTCTCCAATTCTTTAACGATTAAATGCTTGTTAACTTAAATTGCTATTATTGAATTCTATGGCAGAACTAAGGAATGAGCCTTACAAAAGGCTACTCGTATCATCAGTCAGTATCATCAGTCAGTATCATCAGTCAGTATCATCAGTCAGTATCATCAGTCAGTATCATCAGTCAGTATCATCAGTCAGTATCATCAGTCAGTATCCTCAGTCAGTATCCTCAGTCAGTGTCATCAGTCAGTGTCATCAGTCAGTGTCATCAGTCAGTGTCATCAGTCAGTGTCATCAGTCAGTATCATCAGTCAGTGTCATCAGTCAGTATCATCAGTCAGTATCATCAGTCAGTATCATCAGTCAGTATCATCAGTCAGTATCATCAGTCAGTATCATCAATCAGTATCCTCAGTCAGTATCCTCAGTCAGTATCCTCAGTCAGTATCATCAGTCAGTTTCATCAGTCAGTATCATCAGTCAGTATCATCAGTAAGTATCATCAGTCAGTATCATCAGTCAGTATCATCAGTCAGTATCATCAGTCAGTATCATCAGTTAGTGCCATCAGTCAGTGTCATCAGTCAGTGTCATCAGTCAGTGTCATCAGTCAGTATCATCAGTCAGTAGCATCAGTCAGTATCCTCAGTCAGTAGCATCAGTCAGTATCCTCAGTCAGTATCCTCAGACAGTATCATCAGTCATTATCATCAGTCAGTATCCTCAGTCAGTATCCTCAGTCAGTATCCTCAGTCAGTATCATCAGTCAGTATCATCAGTCAGTATCATCAGTCAGTATCATCAGTCAGTATCCTCAGTCAGTATCATCAGTCAGTATCATCAGTCAGTATCATCAGTCAGTATCCTCAGTCAGTATCATCAGTCAGTATCATCAGTCAGTATCATCAGTCAGTATCATCAGTCAGTATCCTCAGTCAGTATCATCAGTCAGTATCATCAGTCAGTATCATCAGTCAGTATCATCAGTCAGTATCATCAGTCAGTATCATCAGTCAGTATCATCAGTCAGTATCATCAGTCAGTATCATCAGTCAGCTTGTGAAAGGACATGGTAATTATAAACAGAAAGTTCCATGGCTGTAACCAAAGATATGCATCTTGCTGTGACAAATCTATACTGAACCAAAGTTCGCAACAAGCACAGTATTATTTTCAGAGCCTGGGAGTTTCATTTAGGTTTCATTTAGGTTTCATTTAGTTTCTAAACCAATCGCTCGTCAGTTTTCATTCAGTATTTAATTTAATTAATTCATCGCACAGAGCAACATTTATGTTATAAAATGTGCTAATAACTTTATTCAAACACCTGGTTCTATTTAAATGTCTGGGTTCAAGGGTTCTCCAGATGTGTAGTGCTCAGCCTTTCTGAGTATCTTTGTTAGCATCCGGCTGAGCCCTGTTAAATATCTTTAAATAAATTCAATGTCTTTTAATATTTAATAACATTCATTCAGTTCCCTTTATAATACGTACTAAAATTATTTTGTCATTTAATTCCCCATAATACTAAACATTCAAACATCACATAGTCATTTGATGCCCCATAATACTAAACATTCAAACATCACATAGTCATTTGATGCCCCATAATACTAAACATTCAAACATCACATAGTCATTTGATGCCCCATAATACTAAACATTCAAACATCACATAGTCATTTGATGCCCCATAATACTAAACATTCAAACATCACATAGTCGTTTGATGCCCCGTAAGGAAATACCAAAAGCTGAGATCACATTTTTATTGTCTGTAATGTAATGTTGACCGGCGATCGACGCCTTATGTTCGGCAGGTTACCAAGGAGTCGACTGTTCTGTGGACATAGACGAGTGTAGCGCCAACTCAGGCATTTGTGGCACCTACCATTGCTTCAATCTTCCTGGTGGCTACAGCTGCCTTGGTGCGCCTGGCTTTGATGGCACACCATGTCAGGTAGGAGCCTAGTTTCCCGGGTTTGATCACACAACATGTCAGGTAGGACAATAGCTACCTGGCTTTGATGTTACACCATGTCAGGTTGGACCATAGCTACCTGGTTTTGCAGCTGTGTATTTAGTACAGTCAATCTCCAAGTGAAGATGTATTGATCTCCTCTAGTAAAACTCTTAGGATTAGGTGATGAGAACCCTTTCTCAAGCAGCTCCCCCCCCCCCACCCCCTGGCCGCTTCTGGAACCAAGTATTTCCCAAATATTGGGTAATTTTAAGAACAAGGTATTTTAGTATTTGGTAAAATTGACAGAAGAGTTTATTTGCATAAAAAAATGTTTAGCAATTGAGTATTGAAACTGATGATTTTAACCCTACAGAACATTAACGAGTGCCTATCACAGCCATGCCAGAACGGTGGAACATGCATAGATGGCATCAACTCATTCACCTGCACTTGTCCACCTGGCTACACGAGCTCCGACTGTGGTACAGACGTGGACGACTGTGCCAGCAATCCTTGTACCTCGCCCAACACTGCATGCAGGGCTGCCACTCACTTTTTTAAAATTTCCCAAGATATGGTCATGAAATTTCCCAAGATTTCCCAAGATCATAAAAGTATATAGGAGTTTAGTGTTTTTTTTAAATTGGGGGGGGGGGGGGTTTCCTATGTCCTTAATGTAATTAAGGCCTCTGAAACACATGTTACAATAATTGACTGAAATGTATTGAAAAAGACATTTTAAAAAAAAAATGTTTATCACATAAAATAAATAAACAATTTGTTTGTTTTTTTTAAATATTTATATTATTTTATTTTCCAAAATATCAGCACCCACTGGAGTTAGGCTACTAAATGTTACATCCTAATTCTCTAGTAAAAATATCATCTACAATCCACGTGTAATAGAAGTCAATTGGAAACAGAGCTCACAAGACTAAACAACACACAATTCCTTTTACAAAGGCAAAAGGTTCTTCATCAAAAATTGTTTTTTCTTATTGTAAGTCTGTTGATTAGTAGTGGGGTTTGCAAAGCTATTAAGCAAAATTTGTTGATAATAATTGTAGTTAAAATGGATTGATAGTTATGAAAGCAATAAGTATGTTTATTTTTTCTTGTAAATTTACATTATAATGGTTTTTATTTAAACGAAATACTGATTAAAGGAATTTTTCATTTATTTCCTACAATGTATAATTTGAATATCTTAGTTACCTGTGTGTCAATCCACAAATACTTTTTCCAATAGATGAAAATTAGGCTAGATTTTTTAAAGATGCATAATATTTTGAACACATTGTATAAGTAATTGAAATAATCCAATTTTACTATGGATTCTTGATAGAACACTATCATTCACTCTTTGATTTGTACTGTTTTTTGTATGGTTGCTAATGTCTTATTATACGCATGATAAAGTTTCCGAGTCTACCGCCCCCCCCCCCCTGTTTAATAAACATTTAACACCTGGGTGTAATTTGCAAATCTTCAACTTAAAAAAAAGAAGAGAAAATTAAATTTTTCTTTAATTATTAACTTGTTGTTGATTTAAAATATTAGTCTAACTTTAATTTCAGAAGAGTACTTATTTATTTATAAATGGTTTTAAAAATTAAAACAAGAAAAGTACATTTTTAAAAAATTATTTTTTTTCCTTGTTACTATAAAATTAGTTTGCTTAATTTTCGCTTTTTTTTTTTTTAATCACGTATATTGTTTGCGTTTTTCGAAAAATATAATAAAATCTTCCCCACAGTTAAGATTTCCCAAGGTTTTGCCTGATTTTCAAAATTATTCCCCAGATCCCAAGGGGGGTCATGAATTCCCAAGATCTTGGGAAATTTCCCAAGGTGTGGTAGCCCTGACTGCATGTCGTGATCTGGTCAATGGCTTCAAATGTGTCTGCAAGGAAGCTTTTTCAGGTGACATTTTTTTAAAAATTATATTTTGTACCAAGAAAATTACTTTTTCCATTAGGTCCGAGATTAAGCAATGAATAAGATTGTCCTGTTCAGAGTAAACAAAAAAAATCAATTCTTAATTGAGTTTTAATTTGATCAGCGTTATAAAAAATCATTTCCTTGCTGCCTGGCTATAATAGAAATCTAAGTAATTTCCAGCTTCAGTCTTGATCATATCTATTTTTTGGGGGGTACATTTAAAAAAAAAACAACCTGATGGTTCTTAGGATTTCCGTTTACGTCTCAATTAAGGACGTGATACAATAGTGAGGTTCTTGTTTTAGGTGAGCCCTCGAGCTGTATGGACATAAATGAATGTGATCTCCGTTACTGTCAGAACAGCGCCACGTGCAACAACACGGTAGGGAGCTACACGTGCAACTGTCAGGCTGGATTCGTTGATAAGAACTGCAGCACCGACTTCAACGAATGCAGCAGCAATCCGTGTGTCAACAATGCCACGTAAGTTGTCCCCCACGTAAGTTGTCATCATTGGCACATTAGTTGCCCTAATAACATGTCATCAATGCCCCATAATTTGTCTCAGATCATGGGTCAACAATGCCACTTAAACTGCACCCAATGTTAAAAATGCTATTTAAATTGTCTCATGTCCTAAGTTCAACTGGTGAATCTATTGATTATTTAGAGCCACATTGATGTATCCACTTGTCAGTTAACGTATTACTTAATATAGACTGGTCAGTGTATGGATTATATATCGACTGGTCAGTGTATGGATTATAATCGACTGGTCAGTGTTTGGATTATATATCGACTTGTCAGTGTATGAATTATATATCGACTGGTCAGTGTATGGATTATATATTGACTAGTCAGTGTATGGATTATATATTGACTGGTCAGTGTATGGATTATATATCGACTGGTTAGTGTATGGATTAAGCTGTGCCAAATTAAGTACTTATCTGTGACCCACTTGTATTTGATGATGATTTATTCTTGATAATTTAGAATAAATTTATTAAACATTTTTTATTTCAAAAAAAAATATTCAATTAAAGTTTTAAAAAAAGGCATGTGTAGTTTTTTAAAATATTTTTAAATCTCGCTATTTCAGCTAATTTGTATGTGAATAGTTACCAATTTCATATATATGTAGGTTTCCCTGAAGGTACTACATCACTTAGCTTCTGAAACATCCTTCAAAGAATTCAATAGCTCATTTGTAAACCAAAGTAATCTCATTGTTTTAATTCCATCATGCCAGATGTAATCTCATTGTTTTAATTCAATCATGCCAGCTGTAATGTCATTGTTTTAATTCCATCATGCCAGATGTAATCTCATTGTTTTAATTCCATCATGCCAGATGTAATCTCATTGTTTTAATTCCATCATGCCAGATGTAATCTCATTGTTTTAATTCCATCATGCCAGCTGTAATCTCAATGTTTTAATTCCATCATGACACGTGTAATCTCATTGTTATAATTCTATCATGACACTTGTAATCTCATTGTTTTAGTTCCATCATGGCACATGTAATCTCATTGTTTTAATTCCTTCATGATTCTTGTAAGCTCATTGTTATAATTCCATCATGACACATGTAATCTCATTGTTTTAATTCCATCATGATACTTGTAATCTCATTGTTATAATTCCATCATGACACGTGTAATCTCATTGTTTTAATTCCATCATGACACATGTAATCTCCTTTCAGCTGCAATGACTTGGTCAACAACTACACATGTGCCTGTCTTCTTGGCTTTGACGGAAGAAACTGTGAACACAATATTGATGACTGCCTGTCAAACATTTGTCACAATGAAGGGTCATGTCAGGATCTAGTGAGAGTGAATTGTTCTGGATTTACGAACAATTTGTTTTGTATTTGTTTGTATTTGTATGTTCGTGTGAGTGTAGTTGGTGGGTGGTGCGTGTGAGTGTAGTTAGTGGGTGTTGCGTGTGAGTGTAGTTGGTGGGTGTTGCGTGTGAGTGTAGTTGGTGGGTGATGCGTGTGAGTATAGTTTTTGCGTGTGTGTGTATTTGGATGGTGGTGCGTATGAGGGTAGTTGGTGGGTTGTGCGTGTAAGTGTAGTTGGTGGGTGATGCGTGTGAGTGTACTTGGTGGGTGGTGCGTGTGAGTGTAGTTGGTGGTTGTTGCGTGTGAGTGTAGTTGGTGGGTGTTGCGTGTGAGTGTAGTTGGTGGGTGATGCGTGTGAGTATAGTTTTTGCGTGTGTGTGTATTTGGATGGTGGTGCGTATGAGTGTATTTGGTGGGTTGTGCGTGTGAGTGTAGTTTGTGGGTGATGCATGTGAGTGTAGTTGGTGGGTGGTGCGTGTGAGTGTAGTTGGTGGGTGGTGCGTGTGAGTGTAGTTGGTGGGTGATGCGTGTGAGTGTAATTGGTGGGTTGTGCTTGTGACTGTAGTTGGTGGGTTGTGCGTGTGATTGTAGTTAGTGGGTGATGCGTGTGAGTGTAGTTTGCGCGTATGTGTGTATTTGGATGGTGGTGCGGATGAGTGTAGTTGGTGGGTTGTGCGTGTAAGTGAAGTGTAGTTGGTGGGTGTTGCGTGTGAGTGTAGTTGGTGGGTTGTGCGTGTGAGTGTAGTTGGTGGGTGGTGCTTGTGAGTGTAGTTGGGTGGTGCGTGTGAGTGTGGTTGGTGGGAAAGAGACGAGGCCATGATTCTTGTTTTACAACAATTGTCCCAGCCCTGAAAGATCCACAGAAACTTGTGGTCATTTGCTGGTTCTTCAATCTCGAGTGCAATGACGCCGCAGAACCACACATTAAAAAAGGGGTTAGGGAGCGGTGGGTATGGATGGTCATTTTATGTCCCCATTGTTATGAAAAATATTTGATTTTATCTCTGTAATATATTGATCTATGTTTTTGTAGTAATTTGTTTTTACGCAACTTTATGGATTTCAAGATTTAATCTGTTTTAAGGTTATCTTCGTAGAATGAGCGATAAGTAACAAAGGACTGAGAAATAAAATTCTGCAAAAAACCATAACAAAGAACTAGTGATACTTAAAATATTCAATTTAATTATACTATTACATTTCTATAAAAATACAAAGTCGCATCCAGAGAGAAGAAACTATTTGAACTTACAGCACAGCAAGTGAAATGGTACACACGTCAAAAATACAAATATTAATTTACACACACATAATAATATAAGATTGTGTATATGTTAGGAAATATAGACAAAATCTCTCTCTCGGCTCGGAGAGCAGGTGGCCTATATATAGGGATGAACTCAGAATAATCTAGGAAACAAATTCTAGTACTACAGCACCTACGAGCTGTATAGAATAAACAGAACGCATTCGAACGTAAACAACCATTTCCCAATCAAGGGAAGGGTGGGTAAGAAAAGACACAGCACATTTACTCGGTGACGTCAATATCAACATAAATAAGGGGGGATAAGTGGTGGTGGCTAAAAAAAATGTTACACTTGTATCACAACAATAATCTCCCAAATGTGTAGGTCTGATTGATCTCATGGGAATAACTACTTCTGTCTCAAGCACTTGACACTATGTCGCTGTTCACGTGTGGCGTGTTTTATCTCAGGTCCACGACTACAAGTGTAACTGCCAACCCGGCTGGGCAGGCCGCAACTGTGACAGAGACATTGACGACTGCAACCCCAACCCTTGTCTCAACAATGCGGCCTGCCACGATCACCTCAACCACTACAACTGCATGTGTCCACCAGGATATAATGGTAAGATTGGACAACTCTTGTCTGAACAATGCCATCTGTCACTATCACCTCAACCACTACAACTGCATGTGTCCACCAGGATATAATGGTAAGATTGGACAACTCTTGTCTGAACAATGCCATCTGTCACGATCACCCCAACCACTACAACTGCATGTGTCCACCAGGATATAATGGTAAGATTGGACAACTCTTGTCTGAACAATGCCATCTGTCACGATCACCCCAACCACTACAACTGCATGTGTCCACCAGGATATAATGGTAAGATTGGACAACTCTTGCTCGTATGGGGCGTACTGACTTTGTTCTCCCCTTGGAACTCACACTTTGGACCATCACTGGTGAAATATACCTGTTGCAGCTATTTTAACAAGAGACTGGTGAAATATATCTGTTGCAGCTATGTTAACAAGTGAAATATAAATATATATATATATATATATATATATTTAATTAAATCCTGCTGCTTATTGTAGCGTTCTATGTCTATTTAAAACTTTTGAATTTTTAAGCAAATTGGAAGAATTTGATATTATCATTCTTTTTTTATTTATTTGTATTTTTTATCATGGACATTGTGTATGTCTGAGTCTGGAAATCGTTGCACAAACTGAGCACTTACTCCGCCTGTGTGTGGGTGACTTTATTAGTATTTATGCTTCTTCTTCCATGTTCGCCCTGTTATTATGAAGCATTACTTTGTGATGATATAAAACTGATCAGCCGTGATGTGGAGCATACGAAAAAAACAAACAAAGCAACTCAGGCTACCGTCTGTCATTATGCTCATAAATATCATCGCATCAGCTAACCCAGGATGTGGAGTGCTAGGAGACATTTAGTGGTGGAAAATGGGCAAAGAGTGAATCCTGGCTGAAATGATCGAGCACCTGATTGAAATGCTCTGTCTGGTGAATGTGGTGCTTCACCAAATATGACCAATGTGATCACATGCAGTGTGTGCAGAATTTGGGATCTGATTGGGAAGGAAAGTTACAGACCAATGATAAACAGATGGATGAGGATTGATATAATGGAGTGTGGGGGGGAGCATGTAAATGAAGTTATAAAATACCCTCCAACGAAATGTGGTAGAAAATTGTATATCTTGTCTCTAATTAGGCAATTTTACCTGCCTCTTTTTACATTGATTGCGCTCTGCCTTACCCAACAGGAACCAACTGCGGGAACAATATCAATGAGTGAGATTTGTTCGACTCCCCTTGTAAAAACGATGGCATCTGCTTCGACGGCATCAACAGCTACTCGTGCAACTGCGCCGGTGACTGGATGGGCAAAAACTGTAGCGAGACCTACAACGCCAGCTCATTCCTGCCTTGCAAGAATGGAGGGAGCTGCACGACCCTGCCACTCAGTCACAGCTATTCCTGTGCTTGTCCAAGGGGATTCACTGGCAGCAACTGCGAAGTTGATATTGATGACTGCAAAATTGACAGTTGCCCTTCCTATCAGACATGTTACGACGGAATTGAAAATTTTACCTGTGGTTGCAAAAGAGGTAAGTGCTTATAAGCTGGTTCCGTCTCAGTGAACACTTTGTCACTTCTCGCTGTCAGGGGCGATTTGCATTTCATAAATATAGCAGTTCAGAGGTTCCCAGCCTGTGCTCCGCGGCCGCTAAATGAAATAAAAATCCTGATTAACGTCAGACATTGGGTGGCTTTGTCCACACAAATATTTTTTAGGATAAAATTGTTAATTAGAACATTACATTGTTGTATTAAAGATAGATTTTATTGATTTTTTTCCTCTGCTTAATCTAAAAAAGAAAATATAAGCCAACAATTTGCATTGCCTTTTTCTGCTTCAATGGATAATTTAGCTAATCTATTTTTTCATACATTATTATGGATGAGTAGGAAAAAGAAAAGAGAGCTACTAATAAAAAAAAAATATCTCATCCAGGGGGACAGGAGAAAACAAGGTGGGAATCGCCAGCCTCGATTGTTTACATCTATGCTTCATGGAAATTATTAATTTTATTTTGGGCTGGCCTAGATTCCTGAAAAAGTATAAAGAAAAAAGTTCTGCCTGAGGTGCACCGCTTTCCTGCACCAGGGGTTGTGTTTGAATACTTACTGTGCTAAGGATTTCTGTACCAACGCCACCATGTCAACGGAGAGAGAGAAAGCATAGTAAACAAATGCTAAAACAATGCAATCACGGATTTCATGTAAAAGATAGTTATCTAACTTTGCAAGTATCCGCCCTTAAGTTCAGCTGACCCATTTACAGTTTGTGTAATGGTTGGACACACGATTCGAGCAACTAACGTATACTTTTTATTGGTAAACTGTTCGTTTTTCAACGTGTTTTAAAAAAAATAATAAAGTTTCTGAATTTTTATAGGTTATGATTTTACAAAAATTGGATATTAGGATAGCAAAAAAATTCAGCAAATGATTTTCATTAATTTTCAGAACCGAAAACTGGAAAAACAGTTTTTGTTTAACATAATTAGATCACGGAAATATAAATACTTTTACCGGCAGGTTTGGTTTTGCAAATTAAAAGTTTCAGTGGACCACTAGTGGCCCACGGGCCGTAGGTGACACACATCTTGTTTACATTATGTAATGATCTCAGCTAAATCAAAATGAACTGCTCAGTTGGATGTTAATAGTCAATGATAATCTCACTTATATGCAATTATGTTAAGTGATCACAATACATTTCTGGACTGCTTTAACTGTGTTAACATAATTAGAATTGGTTTACAAGAAACATTTCTCAGTTCCCAAACTTGCACAGACTATACATTACATAAATAATCTCACTAATCTCTACAAAAATGCAATTTTTATGTGCCATGACTTAAAGAGAATTATATGATTTCCCACCATTTATGATACCATGAGGTCTGCTCACATCTAGGCTACACCGGGGTCAACTGTACTACAGACGTCAACGAATGTGATGTCAGAATGGTGGCACTTGCACAGATGGGCATGGAAACTTCACTTGCAAATGTCCACAAAAATTGATTGACATCAGATTGTAAGAGTGACTATGATTGACATCAGATAGTAATTCTGACTATGTTTGACTTCAGCTTGTGAATTTGCTAATGATTGACATCAGAATGTAAGTCTGACTATGTTTGACATCTGATTAAAATTCTGACTATGATTGACAACAAATTGTAACATTGACTATAATTGCCATCAGATTGTAATTTGACTATGATTGACATCAGATTGTAAGTCTGATTATTGGATTCAGCATATTATTTTTAAAAAGTTAAACAAAAAATAATTGTTCTCTGTCGAGTTAGATGTTGGTCTACATTTTTTACACAAGTAAAATTTTTTTGTGTGGCAATTTTAAATTTATCTTAATATCCGCTTTATATTTAAATAAAACTATTAAAATTTTTTTAATGCTTTGTAGAATTTTTACATTAAATAAAAGACACAAAGAAAGAGAAGGAATAAATTGTTTCATCACTTTTGTAATACATTGTAAAAAAATTATGTACTTACCACTTCTTGTAAGGTACAAGGCTTTTTAAAATGACATTAATGAATTTATAGTGGCTTTTAAGAATAACTTCTTGTAAGGTACAAGGCTTTTTTACAATGACATTAATGAATTTATAGCGGCTTTTAAGAATAACTTCTTGTAAGGTACAAGGCTTTTTAAAATGACATTAATGAATTTATAGCGGCTTTTAAGAATAACTTCTTGTAAGGTACAAGGCTTTTTTACAATGACATTAATGAATTTATAGCGGCTTTTAAGAATAACTTCTTGTAAGGTACAAGGCTTTTTACAATGACATTAATGAATTTATAGCGGCTTTTAAGAATAACTTCTTGTAAGGTACAAGGCTTTTTACAATGACATTAATGAATTTATAGTGGCTTTTAAGAATAACTTCTTGTAAGGTACAAGGCTTTTTACAATGACATTAATGAATTTATAGTGGCTTTTAAGAATAACTTCTTGTAAGGTACAAGGCTTTTTAAAATGACATTAATGAATTTATAGCGGCTTTTAAGAATAACTTCTTGTAAGGTACAAGGCTTTTTTACAATGACATTAATGAATTTATAGTGGCTTTTAAGAATAACTTCTTGTAAGGTACAAGGCTTTTTTACAATGACATTAATGAATTTATAGCGGCTTTTAAGAATAACTTCTTGTAAGGTACAAGGCTTTTTACAATGACATTAATGAATTTATATCGGCTTTTAAGATTAACTTCTTGTAAGGTACAAGGTTTTTGTACAATAGCTGCATGTCAATACTTTAAGATTAGAGTAAGTACCAATACATTGCTTGTAACGTTTCAACGAGCTTCATTCAATATGTGTGATATTTGTTTTTAAAAAAAAATGCACGGAGATTATTTTTCTGACAACGAATGACATAATTTGTTGTCCGTTCCAAATACATGAAACAACTCCCTAAAAAGGAAGTTCATCATATAAATCCTTCCTATGCAATTTTTAATTAGTTTATTTTATATTAACACTATAATGTCTCAACCGCTCCTACACCGCATATTTATTTCTTCAACTATTTTAGAACAACAAATGAAAAACTTACGCACCAAACGAAACTTGAAAGGTATTTTTTAATAAAAAGAGAATCTCATTTAGCGCATTTACGTGAATTTTATTTTGTACAATCAGTGTCATATATTTTCTTTCATCTCCTCCTTGAAAAACAGGAAAAACTAATTTTTTGGGGGAGTGTAGGGCTGAAAACTTGACAGAAAGTGATGTCATCGGCAACGAGTCTATGTGCCAATTTTCAGTTTGATAGGTTGACGGGAAGTAGGTCAACTACTTGTCCGAAGATATTGAAAGCCAGCGAGCCAGCCACGAACAAAATGGAAGTTAATAGAAAACGATTTAACAAAAATATAACGTTCGCACATTTCAATGTTAAATTTAAAGTATGATGACATATCGCCTCTAGCTACAGTTTAAACAAGACTTCGTCTAACAACAGTTCACCAGTGCATGTAACAAAAGTGAACTAGGGCATCTAATAACAGTGCACCAGTGCGTCTAACAACAGTGCACCTGTGTGTAGCCACTAATTTTCAAATTTTTATCTTAATTTTTTTTCCCTCTATTCTTCTTTTTCTTTATTGTGAGGACCCACGATCAGCTGATTATACATTCAGGCACCTATTTATGTAGAGGGGTTTCATGATGTCGCATGTGCTTGGTAATGACGAGGATACTTTACTGCTTGCACTTTCTACTTACTTGTTTAAAATGAACTCTCTAATTCAAAGCTGGTGAAATAGTGTGTCGTCATCCGATACGTAATGGATCATTTTCTCCCCTTTCATATAAAAAAAAAATGAACTCTCTAACTCAAAGCTGGTGACATAGTATGTCATTCTCATCATACACATAAGAGCACATTTGTTTCAGGTTTCAAGTTAGGACATGACAGAGTCAACATCCACCACCTTATATACAGTATTGCAGGATCACAATCTTTTCTAATGGGAAATGTTTAACTTACAGATCTAGAAAATAATTGATGCGTTTTTATTTTCATCTCACGTGGGGAATTATAGGATTTTGGAGGCCGTTGCACTTGAGTTTAAAATATTTACCTTCACATGGTGGAGGCAATTCCTTTTAGTCATTTGAAATTGATTTTCTTTTAAATTGCAGGTGTACTTGTATCCGTGGTTAAAGAGGGAAAGAACTGTAGTGATTTAAACTTCTGCTCTTTTGGCTCCTGCCATGAAGAGTCTGAGTGTGTCAACATACCCAGCGGCTACGGGTGTACGTCTCATGACACAGATCACTTTTAAACAAAAGTCTAGATTACTCATTGCAGCAACATACTAATATACCCATTGGCTACGGGCGTAGGTCGCGTGTCATAGATCACTTTTAAACTAAAGTCTAGATTACTCATTGCAGCAACACAATAACATACCCTTTGGCTACGGGCGTACATCGCATGTCATAGATCACTTTTAAACAAAAGTCTAGATTACCCATTGCAGCAACACAATAACATACCCATTGGCTACGGGCGTACGTCGCATGTCATAGATCACTTTTAAACAAAAGTCTAGATTACCCATTGCAGCAACACAATAACATACCCATTGGCTACGGGCGTACGTCGCATGTCATAGATCACTTTTAAACAAAAGTCTAGATTACCCATTGCAGCAACACAATAACATACCCATTGGCTACGGGCGTACGTCGCATGTCATAGATCACTTTTAAACAAAAGTCTAGATTACCCATTGCAGCAACACAATAACATACCCATTGGCTACGGGCGTACGTCGCATGTCATAGATCACTTTTAAACAAAAGTCTAGATTACCCATTGCAGCAACACATGCGTGCAGGCTGCCACAAGCCTAAAGACGGATTGTTACCATCTTGGCCAGTGCGGTCTTATGACAAACTTTTAATCCAGCCTCAGTCGTTAAAACTGGTCAACAAAC